AATCCATTAAGAAACTTCTAACTTGGCAAATCATTTGTATCAACCCCACTACCCCGACTTCTGAACCAGATCTCTCAAGCCATTCAGTACCGTTTTCTCATCACCCACTTTTTCCTTAACACTCAGCATATTTTCATCAAATACGTTAACATAGGTGACCGACCTCTCCATTATTACTTCCTGTCTTCATCTGAGTGTACCCTACTGCCCATGTTTTCCTCAAAAGAACAAGGACGTGTGGTATTACAATACCATGATTTTCCACTGCCCTTTCCTGCCCCTTCTAGCTTCAGACATCTCCCCAGACATTGTGCATATTATCTCCTGCATATCAAGAGAACTAGCTGCTTTAGCATTTTCACTGTTGTAGTTATTTGTATATTGCCTCAGTTTATAAGGTGTTTGACATGTTTCATCTTTGTAATTCTGAAAGGTAGATCTTGATGCACCCTTTGCACAGAAAACAAACCAAGGCTCAGAAAACTTTGTCTAGTAAGTTAACCAGCATTTGGGAACTTGGAATCAGACTCTCTCTGAATGACCCTTTTACTAACCAAACTCCCAAGTCAACTACTCACCTTAAGTCCAGTCATTTCTTTCTAAAGATAGTAGAGGTACTGCAGTGATTCTCAAACATGTATGTGTATTAAACTCCATTGGAGCGTAGGAAAAATAGTTATTAAATATTCCACCACAGCCAGGGGGTGAGGAAAATGAAGAGATGCTGGTCAAAGGATAGATATCCAGTTGTAGGTGGATCTAGTTTTGGGGATCTAGTTTACAGCACATTGACTATAGCTAACAGTGTGGTGTGTACTTGAAAGTTGCTATCAGACTAGGCTTTTTTTTTTTTTTTTTAACTTATTTGACAGACAGATCACAAGTAGGCAGAGAGGTAGGCAGAGAGAGACAGGAGGAGAAGGCAGGCTCCCCGCTGAGCAGAGAGCCCGATGCGGGACTTGATCCCAGGACCCTGAGATCATGACCTGAGCCGAAGGCAGAGGCTTTAACCACTGAGCCACCCAGGCGCACCGACTAGACTTTAAATGTTCTCATCTCACCCTAATAAAAATGGTAATCGGATAAAGGATGTGTCCACTAACGTTACTGTGGTAAACATTTCACAATGTATGTGTCAAGTCATCACACTGTACACCTTAAACTTACACAATGTCAATTTTACTCAGTAAAGATGGAAGAAAGTCTCACCAGAGAGATTGGGGTGGAACCAGAGTACTGTTTTGTAGCTATGTGGTTCATGTTATTTGCCTCATCTTAGGCTCACCATAATCTGGTTATTTGCTATCATATCTTCTTCTCAAAATTTGCCCCTTTATTCAGATTTTATTCTACTTCCTCAAACAGTAGTTCCAGAAATTGTGATTCCTCGTGTCTATAACCTACTCTGTGTACCTTACCTGTATGTCCTGAAGATATCAGAGAGAAAAGTAATGTGGAAAAATCATGTAACTGTAACGAAAAAAAGCACTACACAAACATAAGCTGTTATTGTTTCTAATGGCTGATAAAATATCATCAAAGAAAAGTGTTTCCATAAAAGTTTTATTTATCCCCACAACAACCCTGTGAGGTAGGGTGATCAGGGCATTTGAAGATGAGAAAACTAAGTCTACATTACTTGTTCACGGCTATACTGCATAGTAAATATGTAGAAATTAAACTGAGATTTTTTTTTTAAATATCCATGACTTTTATATTGATTCACATGGAAAAAGGCAGAGGGAATATTAACTCCCCCCTACCTTAATGCCAAAAGGACACTACCTTGAAAAATCCCATTTCAAAAGATGAAAGTAGTATTTCATTGCTTATTTCTACAAAGATTTATAAAATAAAAAAATAGTGAAATATTTTACAGTTAATATATATAATGGTCTCATTCAGGGATGTCCTCCAGCTATATATATGTTCAACTATTCCAAGTCCTAGAAATGCAAACTGTTAAAAAGTATGAGACAAGAATGATAATGAGCAGTAGCCTGAATCTTCTTTATTATTCCTCCATGTATCTTGAGTAAGTTCTGTGAAATCTGATCCCAGTTAAAAAAAAAAAAAAAAGAGAGAAAAAAACCAACGAAAAACTACCACAGAGACATCCAGTAAACCTTTATTTAGTTGCCTATTCTCAAACCACTGTCACATTATTTAAAACAGTGATTTCCCAAAGCTGGCTATTAGAATCACTTGGAGAGCTTTAAAAGAAAAAAACAGAACTCTCAGGCCCCACTCTAGATCCACTGAGACAATTGTGTAGGCCTAGGCCTCAGGAATCTGTATTTCTTAAGCTCTTCAGAGTAATTCTAATGGTGAGGTTTGGGAACCACTGATATATTTTAAAATACTAATAACAAAACCAAAAAGTTACTAAGTGTAAACTTGCTGCTCTCTTACCCCTTTTTAAAAATTTCTCAAAACACATTATATCCCCAGAACTCTTGCCTCTGGGCAAGTAATTCAAGATACAGAGAAACATTTTATAAAAATGTATCCTAGTGAGTGAGCCTTGGATTCCAATAATAATTTAAGTGGCATTTAAATACAAGATACTGAGTTTTGTGGTTCTTAATCTGAAATTTTAAAATGTGTTTTATACAGGTTCCTAGCAGGCTTTCACCTTCAGAAGATAGTAAAAGTAATGACACAATTAAGCATATGAGCACTGAAAAAATACTATACTCAAATATAGCTCATGAGAGGAATAAGAAAGTGAATGAATGACAACCTAAGGCCTTTTGGCCCATACATTTTTGTTCCCAGTCCACTCTTCCCCTATAAGGGGAAATAAAATAAACATTCTTTCCTAGTTGCTTGGCATAGTTATTCAGTGGGTAACTATTAACTAAGTTAATTTAGATACACAAGATTAAAAGAGGTAACAAATAAATACCTAGGAAGACAAAGAGAAGTCAGTTCAGAAAACCTTAACTATCTAAGGATGTGGTATATAACACCATCATGTTAGTACAATTAAATGAAGGCTTCAGTGTCCTTTACATTTCAGCATTATGTGATTGACACAAGATGTGGAAGAGATCTGTCCTTATGAAGAATTCTGTGCTCGCTGTAAAGATTTGTAGGAATAATGAAATGCTTTCTTCATTGATGAGATGAAGTCTCTCTGTTTTTCAGGCAAGTTGACTGGACAAAACAATGAAAACGAACTTCTTTAGAAGGTTGAATGAAAGTACTATTTAGCTGAAAAAGTCATTGGCCAAAGATAACTTTTTTTAAACCATTCTATGTTTAACATAAAACAAAAACAAAACAAAAAAAAAACCAACAATAACAACAACCAAACAAACCAGAAAAACCAGAGAAATGTAAAAAAAACAATGTACACATCCATTTCACTGACAGGTACAAGAAAATAGCCATTTATAGAAGTTACAATGCTTTCAACAATCCCCCGCCCCCGAATTTTGGGAAATAAGATAAAGCCATTGGGTAAATAAATATACATACTAGCTAATATAAAACAATTATGGTTTCAAATCGTTATCAACTCTTTTAAGACTCAAAGAGAAATATTGTGATATAAATCTGATTAGGGCTACATATATTACACAGAATTAAAAAACACAACTGATTTAAACATCCTAACAATAATACAAATATTTAAAAGAATGTCTTAAAAGCCAGACATTTATCACTGGAAATAGCACAATTGTAGTATGTACTTCAGATATGTAATGTGTATATAGGTCACTTTTGCTGTGTCTTATCAGGTATCCGTCTCTCCTGCATTTCCTACAGTCAGTTTTTAAAGAGTTCATGTTTCCTGCATGAATTGAAGCAGTTGGGCACATCTCAATTCACAAAATAGACACCTCCACTTAACTAAAGGGAAGTGTTTAAGATAACATTTACCAACAGCTAATGAAAAGGGGTAATGAGAAGGTAAAACATTAAAGTGGAAGGAAACTGGATAACTGTCTCTTTATAAATTATTTTAAATTTTTTATTAACAAATTTAAAATGACTGAAATCAAGTAATAAAGAAAAATAAATTGGTCTCAAGAAATTCTCTCAGGCCATATAATTTCTCTTTATTTCTTTACAGAATCTTGTTATGCTAGATTCCTTTGTCAGTTCACTTAAAGAACTCTCCTAGCATGGGACTGAAAACACCTTTACCATTAATAAAAGATGATTAAAAGCTGGTGTTTATTTTAAAGTGCCCATAGGCATAACATTACAGGTGCTTACATTTCCCTTTCAGTTATGGGAAAGCCCTTTGAGACTGTTTACTTAATCAGAAAAGCTTTCAGCAATTGTAATGCATGCTGAAAGCTTAGAACTTGTATAGGTTTTGGGTTTTACTGTTTGAGCATTAAAGGGGAGCAAGGAGAAATGTAACTAGGTTCACAATTTTGAGCAAGAGCATATGTAAAGGTAACGTATGTACATTTTATTTCAAGAAAGACAGAAGACAAACAGCATAAAGATGCCCAGATGCCCTAAAGATAAATACATTTCAAAGATTCTCATTAAAATGAATCTGGAGTATTTTTTCCTGCAAGCAAAATACCTTTCTTTAAATTAAAACAAAAACAACCAAAACAAACAAACAAATAAAAAAAAAACCAGTATTCTGAATTGCAAATGCTTTGCTTTTTTTTTTTTTTTTTGCAGAATATCTGCCATGATTATTTTTTTAATGAATAAGGATTTTCCACAAAACAGGCTTGCTCTACATGCTAGGTTTTTTAAACAGTTCAGTGACACAATATGCTAACTACATACACAACAGATAATATAGTAAGAAAACACTCAACCTGATGAAAAGTTAAAATCTTCATTAATACACTGAAAATTGACATAACTCATGCCTTTAAAATCAAAAATACAAAAATTAAATGTTTTCCTAAAAAGATTTCCTTATTTTAAGGATTCATTTGAAAATGAAGCTGCATGTAATTTGTACAATAAGTTGTACAAGTAAACAGGTAATATACATAAAAAATTAAGTGACATACTCCTCAATTATCAGTTGTCCACCTTTAATTTCCAATACTGTACTTTCTTAACAAGCATACAAAATATCAAACTTCTCTTTAGAAAAAGTGCCGTTCTTTGACATCCTTTACACAAAAACAGTCTGAGCCTGTGGCATGTTAATGCAGTCGAGAGGCAAAGCATACTAACTTTTACAAATTCTACCTTCCATAAAAAGCCTCCCGAAAAGGAGATTACACGCCACTATAAAAATATCAACCTCTTGTGGTAGCTGCATTAGAGAACCAAGGCTTGACGACTATTTTCATATAGCATAGAAAACCACTATGAGAGCATATTAACTGCATTGGTGGCTTGGGAGTTTACTGTGCCACAGGATTATGCATAGCTACTGTAAGGTACCAAGACTGTTACACAGAGTTTTAAATTGATTGTAACCAAGAGCATAACAGAGGTACTACCAGCCCATGCAAAATAACTAAAAATACTGAGTCACTGTGCTGAATACTTCATTCCTGGAGAAAACCAAAGGCAGCAGTAACCAAATCAAGCCCAACAGGTGACCAAACTCATTCTCCTCAAAGATTGGTGAGCACAGTGAAGTCTGAGGTATACCTTTATCCATTAAATCTGTGTGCCACTGCAAGATATTACCATTTGGGAACACATGCCATCACAATGGTTTAAATCTTTTGAATATTAGTCATTCATATATTCTTATCTACCCAGTCCTTTGATTTTTTTTTAAAAGATTTCACCTACAGTAGAATATTACAGAAACAAAATATAAATGCATGTCTTTCTAAATGAAACTTACATGGACTAAAAGTAGAGAATATTTTTAAACAAATATACAATATGCAGGCAGACAAAGCAGGAAAACGGCCATTCAAATGTATAATAAAAAACTAAAAATTGACTATTTCCAGAAAACTATGAAGCGCCTCAACTAAAAGGAATGCATAATGAAAATCTAATCTAATACAGGTCAAAAATGTAAAAAGGTTATAAACCTTAACAGGAAAAATAAAACAACTTTTACTGGCCATTCCTGTTGAAATGAGAATCTTAAAGTAACAGAAAAGTGGCTACAAACCCACTTAGAGCACCAAACAGAGAGAAAATAAAAGTCCATTTTCATCTCTGTTATTATCATAAAATCCTGTGTGACTACAGGTCAAACTGCTGGTGGCAGAAACAGAATTCTTTATAAACTGCAGATGTCCTGTACATAAAAAAATTTCACTGGAGTTGCACTAGTTCTAAAGACTCTTCTGTTTTAGCCTACCTACTGTATGTATTCAATCTGAGATAAAGTCTCTTTCTGTAACCCTTGATTATTATTGGGCACCAAAGATAAGAAAAGCAAGACGGGGTACAAAAATGCAAAATTTCAACAGTAATGGCAATGTTTTTGTCTTAGTCCAAAAGGGTCCTGCATTCTCTCCCCCTTCAGTGATTTGACAAGTCTTTGTACTTAATCTGGGGGCAGCAAATCATGCAAGCGAAATCTGTCTCTGATGTGAGGTCGAACATCTTCATTCTGTGTGGAGAAAAAGACATTTTTAAAGCCACGTAAATTTCAAAAATATGATTCTCATAACATTCTTCCTTTGCAGAGAAAATATACAGTTTATTTTACAACTTATATTATTTTGTTTGGCCAATATAAAGCTACTATGAAGAAGCAGTTAACTTAAGAATTAAATTTAGACTAAAAAAACCAAACCTGTCATTCAGGTTTTAATTCTGTAAAGAACAATTATGCACTAAAAGGCAAAACCAAAAGACAGGTAGAAGTGCTAAGCCACTGAACTCTACTTTATATATTAGGAAAAAAGTAAAGCCAGAATAAAGTTTCAGTAGCGTAAGCATGAATTCTAGACCTGAACTATGAAAGCAAAGTGAAATCAATTTGATACTAGTTGTGACTTGCAAGAAGCCCAGTGAAATAAAAACACCCAATCTACAAATTTTTAAATATTGATGAGCATAATTTTAATATAATTTACAAGGTGAGAAAATGCTTGTAATCCTTTTCAACTTTTTCCCTAATTTCATACCAAGCTGACTTAAAATGTCAATATAAAGCGTTAAAAAGGTTTCAATAGAGTTGAGGCAACAAAAGAAAATTAAGATATACTTACCAGTTCTACAAGCTTCTCCAGAAATGGAATCAATTTTAGGAGCTCATTGTCATTTTTATCCATAAACCAGCTTTCTATAGGGATTCCATTAGATAGCTATAACGATAAATAAATAATTAAATCCTCTTTTTACATTTTGCCTACTTTGTAAAAGCCTGAAAGAGAAATAACAGATACTTAAGAAACACATGTATATAATAAGTTCCTCTGAAAAGGAATGCCATCAAAGTTTATGTTTGTCATATTCCAACAACTCAACAGTGCAAGAGACAGATGTTAGGGAATACATCAAAGCCCAATTGGTTTTTCCACTTAATGTCTTCCTAGTGTATATGAAACTATACAAGAAAGATACATTGAGACAAGTTTTGCATTAACATAACTAAAAATATTACTTCACTGATTCAAGAAATAGCTACTATTAGTCAGTGCAAGGTATTGTGAATGAAGGAGTACAGCCAATGTAAAAAGAACACTAACAGAAAGCCTATACTTTTACACATGGACTATATCACATTCATTTTATTCCAACAAATAGCAGGATAACCTGAAACAGCATTAATGTAGCAAACAGATACAATGGTATTTCACTGAAGAGGAGTCTAGAAACAAGAATGCAAACCATATTTGTTTCATAGTAAATAATCTCTAGGTTGTCTTTAACATTTATGCAGAATACTGTGTTTAAGATGGAGGACAACTGAAATGATTTTATCCAGGAACCAGTAAAAAATTCTTAAAAAACACATTTCAAAATGTGAGCAGTGACCTATTTTGAACATATTTCAATACCATATGCAGTTTTTCCCTTTTCTCCTTTTTCATCTTTTTACTTTTTTACTCGTTCTATCAACATCCAGCCCAATTTCCACCATCCCTATTCTGCCCAGATTTATTGTGAAGGAAATCTCAAACTATCACATGAACATATTCATAATGTAAAACATTTTGCAAGGATGCCTCAGTTCTAGTTCAAGTTATATTTCTTTAAAAGGCCTTTTTTTTTTTAAAAGACTTTATTTGTTTGACACAGAGAGAACACAAGCAGGTGGAGCAGCAGGCTGAGGGAGAGGGAGAAGCAGGCTCCAGGAAGAGCAGGGAACGCAACGCAGGGCTTTATCCCAAGACCCTGAGATCATGACCTGACCAGAAGGCAGATGCTTAACCAACTAAGCCACCTAGGCACTCTCCCAAGTTATATTTCAAAGAAACACTGACACAGCATATACATATATTGACAAAATAGTCTAAGAAATTATTTCAGAACGTCAAAGCAAACATATCAGAACATGACTGAGGTATTTTTAATTCTCAAACATGTTTACAATTACTTATTTAACAACTGCTAAGAGTACTATTAACTGATATATATATATATTTTTTAAGATTTTATTTTTTTATTTGACAGAGAGACAGCGATCACAAGTAGGCAGAGAGGCAGGCAGAGAGGGAGGGGGAAGCAGGCTCCCTGCTGAGCAGAGATTCCCGATGCAGGGCTCGATCTCAGGACCCCGAGATGATGACCTGAGCTAAAGGCAGAGGCTTAACCCACTGAGCCACCCAGGAGCCCCTGATATATATTTTATAGTCCCTTCTTATTTAGGCCTACTACCCAGATTTTTATCTGTGTTGTACTTAATTGAAAGAAAATTTTCAGGGCACCTGGGTGGCTCAGTTTAAGTTAAGCCTCTGCCTTCGGCTCAGGTCATGATCTCAGGGTCCTAGGATGGAGCCTGCATCTAGCTTTCTGCTCAGCGGGGAGCCTGCCGCGCCCCCCCCCCCCCCCCCCGCTTCTGCTTGCCTCTCTGCCTACTTGTGATCTCTCTCTGTCAAATAAATAAATAAAATCTTAAAAGGAAAAGAAAATTTCCCACATGGAACATAGCAATTTGGCATTTCTAATTCTAAAAGATAATACTAAACACAGAAATTTCACCAGTCAAAATTCTGTTCTCCTATCATATTCTGTTTGGCAGCATTTGTTCTCACTATATATATTTTTTCCCAATCTGAATTTGTTTAGCAACCCTCCCTTCCTACCTGATATGCAAAGGCTTGTGGTGAGTTGTCAATTATTATAGTCTTTGAAAGATCTCTTCCAAGGATATTTAAGTCCTTTATATAGTTTCCTTGTACACAAACACAATGTTCACGGAAAAGCCGATGCCTAAACATAAAAATAAAAACAAATTAACTAAGAAAAAAAAAACTCTAAAAATTACAACATATACTGAAACATACATACACATACCATAGGCTTTATAGTTTAAGCCTTATTATTTTCTCTCACAAAGGAAATTCAAATATAAATGTGAGCCTAAGCTTTGGGCTACAGTTTTACTTTTTAAAAATGTTAGCAATTATTGAAACCTTACAACCAAATATTACCATGCCTTTAAGAACTTCGGCTTATCCCAAAATGTTCTATTAAATTATAAAGAGGGATTAAAAACTCTGTAAATTGTTTTTGTAATTTATTTACCCAGGAAAGCTCAGTTCAGATGCAGCATCTGGTTGTCAGCGAGGTCCTGCTTTTTAACCAATTTTCCAGATGGTTGACTGAGGCACAAGGAGGTCAAGTGACTTGCCCAAGGTCACACAGTAAGTCAGTGGTTAGCCCCGCATTGGAACCCAGGATCCTCCTGGCTCCCAGTCCTTTGCTCTAACCAGAAGACCACACAGCCTCCCTATCCCTGTACATGCCAGAATAGAAAATATAAGAAGGAATGTTTCTGTGTTGGCATTTTTAAAAATGTTTTTAGTTTCCCTTATAGTTTTTGAGAAAAGGTGTGGAGGCCAAAACATTCCATCATTTCAGCTTTTCCCAAACACCCATCTTTCTTTTAATTTAGTTGAGTGTATATATGATCATTTGAAAAAACAAGGATTGCATGAAATGATGAATTCAGATTTAAGTATTACAAATGTAAACTAATGTTTTACCAATGATACTTAACTGAAAAATGCTGTTATTTTAAAAAGCTATGAAAGGCTTTATAATAATACTTATAAACTGTCAAAATTGTATCATCTCATTTAGCACTCAAAATGTTAGTCTCCAAATATTTCTAATAATACAGATCACCTTGAAATGTATACATTAATAAATTGGTAAGTTTGGCTTCCTTGTGTCTTAATCCCACTAAACAATTTTCAGCAGCTAAGGTCTACTCATACCTTTTATTTTTAATTATGGAATTTCAAGAAAGGGGCATTTTCTACCAACAAAACTTGCCATAGCTCTGAGAACAAAACTCAACCTTAAAAACACCAGTGCCAGTGGTGATGACAGTTTTCTAACCAGACAAAACGTATTAAAAATAGTTCTCTTCCTCCCTTTTTATAAAGAATACTTTTAACTAAATCATGATCTACCTCTGTATGGTTTAAAGACCATCCTACTTTGAAAAGGTTAAGACCAAAGAATTTTCATTCCTGGTTGGGCCTATAAGATTCCATTTTTATTTGTATGAACATTTACGTTACATATGAGGAAACTGGAAAAGCCAGTGCAGCACATAATGCAAGTTACTACTAATGTTTCTTCCCCAATAGCAGCAAACTCACCCAAGACAGGAGACAAATGACTATGTATGTGGATACTAATGATTACTTCAATTAAATTACAATAAAACTCCTCCAGTTATTCAGGAGTCTGACAGTCAGTAGCAGGTATTTGCAGTTTTACAAAGGAACTACTTTTGCCAGTCATCAGATTTGCATTTGGATGCATGAGATTCAGACATCATGGAATTTCTGAGTCTCCCTTGTCTTCAACATAATTCCCTTTAGCATTCTAATGAATTCAATCTACTATTCAAAAAGTTCTTCCTGTTTTAAATTATTCAAATATGACTACATAAAACAAATTTAAACTCCCAAATATGTAAATTTTATAGAACTAGTTTAAAAGAGGGGCATTAATTTGTTAACATCATAATTCCATGACTATGACTTGCTCCCCAGTTAAAACTGAAATCTCTAAGGGAAAGGCTGGTATTGCTCACCACTGTTGCATGGAACACTGGAGGTGCTGAATAGAAATCTTCAGAATGAATGAAGTCATCAAAGCAAAATCATTTGTGTACTTTTGTTAAAGTTAGGTAAAATGAGCATGTATTATACTTTCATAAATAGGAAACACCATTTTCATTTTTGATCTGATGCTTGCTTATATGGAAGATAAAATGGAAAGTGACAAGGACAAATTCTGATCCTTTAGATTAAAAAAATCACAGTTCCATTTACAAGAAAGAAAATCTAAGTGTGGACATCAGAAAATGTCTTTTCGCATAGCTGCAACCACTCAATAACAAAGGTACCATTAACAGTAGAAATTAGGATTTTCCACTAAAAAAATATGGAAGAAAGTATTCAAGAAAATGAACTCCCAGCTATTAAAGCTTTCATGAACCTTTTTTGGCATCTCTTACATCTCTTGGTCCAAAAAAAAAAAATCAAAGATTAACTCTGGCATCTTAAAGAATCCAGCAAGACTGCTAACAGTCTTAATATCTCACTTCAGTTGACACAAACAATGGAACTAATTTTCAAACTGTTTTAAAATTACCCAAGGCACTCCCACCTAACCAGGAACACACTGCATCTGCTGGCTCAGGACACACACAAGGAACTGAGTCCAGATCAGGATAACTTGAGTGACTAAACCAACTGCAATTTCCAATTAGAGTCATGTAATGTTTTCTTTCCATGGAGGACAAATTTGCTCTTGAAAAAAGCAAAAGAGTTTAATTTATCCTTTCTGTTAAAATTAACCCTTATTTCTCTATGCCATTAAACAGGGGACATAACATGCATTATCTCAGAGACATAAGGAAGTGAAAATATCATGCACACAGTGAAAAATTCCGCATACCCCCATTCTCCCCCCAGTCCCAAAAGAAATGAGGATACAGATGGACTGTGAATGAATATATACATTTGATCTTTGTATCCTTTAAAGAACGTCTGTCTGGAGTTATATCATTTGGAACTCTTAAAGAGTTTGGGGCTTAAAAAAATTCATTTCACCATTCAACACAACCAATCTCTATATATGCAGCCAACTGAAAATGGCCATCAAAATTAAATAGAATCAAAGTAATTTCATAGATCAGTGTGACAGACATTTCCACTATTTCTTAATTAAATTTACCTGACCAGTTGCTTTTTAGGGTCTAGTATGTTCAGTAACTTGTCTGCATACACCTTCTTAGAAGCAGTAAAAAGAATGATCTACAAATTCAGGGGAAAAGAAGTAATCATTATACATGATCTAAATATGGGTACTGTATTGAATAAAATAAAAATACTTATGTAATTAGCTTAAGCATTTTTACCTCATACATCTGAGACATTCGTTCCAGGAATTCCCTGAAGAATGGTCTTAATCTCACGTAAACCTGAAGAAATAACAAAGACATGCTTCAGTAAATAAACATACAGAGTAGAAACAACTTATTTATAAGAGATGTTGTGTTCTAACTCTGAATATATTATAATTAAGAAGTTCATATTTTAAAGTAATAGAAAAGTTCACTAAGTACCACTCAAATATATTTCATAAACCAAAAATCACTTAAAACAATCTTTTGGTAGGGAAATAATAGTCATTGTGATGTTACTTTTTAATATTTAAATGGCACCATACAATGTAATAAAACTTTGTGGAATATAATTTTAGTAAACATTCAAACTAAAAACTGAAGGTTTCCCTTTGAGATTTTTGATCCGCCAATCAGCTCCATCTTCCAGCCAGGTAGCATCCATCCAATTATTAGGCAGGCTGTGTCCACCTCTAGCTGACCTGTCTCAATGACCTTCCTCTATATTCAGAATTTCTTCGTAACAATCACCTGCTAAGAATACCTTTATTTTCAATCTCTATTAAGATAAATAATGTTCAAGAAAGAGATGTCTGGATTGGTGGGTTTAAGTAACTGGAATTTTTCAGAATTCAATCTTTTTCTACATTTACTGATTTAGACGTGGCATCTAAATTAGCACTACCAGGCTACTTGAGACTGAAAATATAACAGTCTAATACCAGTTATCAAAACTTACTGGCAATATCAGGGAAAACTATATGCCCAAAGAACTGCCCTTTCTTATTTATGTTTGTCTGTCTTCTTGCCTACATTTAATGTAGCTCTTGTAATACACTCCAGAATTCAAAAAGCACAGAATTATAAGCCAAGAGCAACCACTAAAATGGATTTACAGAAGATTTTAAATTATATTCATTTTGTGACAAAATTTTATAAAGACAATTTTATACTTTATACTCAACAGTGATTATTAACTTCAAACACCATGAACAACAAATATTTATAGAAGATGTATGCACCAGATTCACTGGATTCAGATTAAAAAAAAAACACAACCCACTAGTAACTACAAATTCAGAATCTAGGCTTCATGAAATTTAATTGTCATTAATAGACATCCACACAAAAATGATAAAAATTTCGTTCTGGGAATGTTTTCGGGAAGAACAGGGAAATCAAGCAAAGGATTCTAGGAAGTAGTGACCACTGTACTACCAATCTTTATAGTTTCCAGGGCCCTCTGGGCAGAAGACAATGTCAAATATACAGTAAATACTTGATTTAAAACAAAAACAAAAACTGTTGAGTAAATGAAATAGAATTACCCAAAGTTAAGCAATATAGACAAAACAAAGAGAAGCAAGCCTATATAACTACACAAGGACAACTACTGAGTTTCCTCAAAAACTAATCATTTGTAGAAGACAAATTCTGAACAATTATTAATATGCTAAGAATATCATTACCCCTACCTCTAGTCTAGAATGATAAAGTATACTTGCTTTGAATCCTATTAGGCATTTTATTTCAATCTCTTGACTAATCAAAAACAAAAGTAAAGCCATATACCCCTACCCCTAGAGCAAATAAAAATAACCAAATCCTTGGTATCCAATCACTATCATTTAGGATGAGGCACAAGAAATTTAACTAGAGCTGCTCTTCTAATTAATTTTAACATTTTTCATCCTAAAAACATTTGGTATTCTTTGTGGCCAACCGAGGTAACTGACAGATTTCAGATATATTATTACTGTCTTAACTGGAAATAATATTTTTTATTAACTATGTATCTTTTCAAAAATAGATTTGTGATGATTAAGGAAAAAAAAATCAATTTAGTCAATACTTTTTCCAATGACCTCATCTCAAGGATGATAAACTATGAACCATCAGTCCTAATTACCAAAATACTTTATTTTTGCATTTTTGTTCTCAGTATCTCTGTTATCACTTGCTCCATTCTGTAAACTAAGTAAGGTCTCTGTAATTTGGGATTTGTTTCCTCTGAACCCTAACATACTTCCATTTTATTTTAGAGGAATACTTCTATGTAAATGATATTATCCAAGCAGAGAAGTGGAGCACCATACAAAGGTGACATTTTTAATTTCTTATACATGACTTCCAGATTAAGTCAAAACTATTATTTCATTATACACAGAATGTATACTACTATATATACTATATACTATACTACTTTGACCATTCTTAATATAAAAATACATCTTAAAATTTGACATTACTCTCAAAATGTACTTGTTTATAGGGGAAGATGTGGCCCTAAAGATGGAGAATATATTGCTAGACTGTTTCCTTATATGAGAATAGAATTAATTGTTAGCTATAGAAGTTCCTATCCTCAAAACAGATTCACCATTTGAACAGGAAGGTGTTTCAGTATTAAAATGTATACACAAAACTAAGGTGGTTAGTGAAAAAGAAGAATATAGAAAGATACATTATCTGAGCAGGGGTGGAAGTTCTGCTTTGTGCTGCAAAGGCAAAATCTCAGAAAGAAAAACAGAAATTGAGACACAAGGCCAGCAGGGTCTAAGTCATTTGGATGGATATATTAAAGCAAAAAATATATAAAAGTCAAACACTAAGTACTATCTAGTAGGAAACAGAAAACAATTTAAGATATGTTTAATACAGAGAGACAACAATTACTTATCCTGTGAGGTCACAGAGATACAGAAATACACAAATGCACAGAGGCATTACAGAATGCTTCCAAATCTATTCCACAGATACTCTTAACTACATTTATCTTCTCCTAACTTTCTCATCATAAAGATTCCTGTCCTGAGCTGCCTACTTCCTATTTTCCACATTCTTTCTCTACTTAGTATTTCACTAACCATCCTTCTTCAAACTTGTAACTCTTTACGCATCTTCCCAACATACCTTTTGAAAAAGCCAAAAGTTTAAAAATAATGCAGAATGCTACAAAGAAACAATGATATAAAAATACCATACCCAAAGATACATCTTGAATAGGACTGACTACTATGCAAAGATAGGGATTTATGAATATGTTCAAAATACAAAACTTTAAAAATAAAATCTATCTTTGGTATTAAGACAGTGAGAACATCCTATAATTGTATATACACATACTCTAGCCAGGCCATAAATGGTAAACAAAACTAGATATAATAAAAGCGGTCACCAAAATAACAATCTAATTATTAATTGATTAGAAATATTTTACGACAGTCATATTCATGACTAAGTATGATATCAATCTATATAAATTGAATAATTTCTATTAGTTTACCAAACCTTATCTAATTTCATAGATAACTTTAACAGCATGACCAAAAAAAGAAGAAGAAAGAGGAGGAGTGGGAGAAGAAGAAAACACCCAAAGCAGCCATGCCTTTGTGGGCAAGTGAAGAAAAAAAAATTCTTACATGTAAATCTTTTAAGGAAAAATATGTCTTTAAAAAAAAAAAAGGTTTACTTTATTTTAGAGAGAGAGCTTGAGCAGGGGAAGGGGAAGAGAGGGACAGAATCTCAAGCAGACTCTGCACGGAGCACACAGCCTGGTGTGGGGCTGGATCCCAGGACCCTGAGATCATGACCGGAGCCAAAACCAAGAGTCAGAAGCTTAAGCAGACACTTAACTGACCGAGCCACCCAGGTGCCCAAGGAAAAATATTTCTAAATGGCTGTAAGCAAAGATAATACAACCTTACCATATTTAAAAAGAAACATCTTATTAAAAGTTTTTCCATGATATCCTTTGAATTTATTGCTATACTGATAAAGTTTTTTAAATTGTTTTAATTTTATGCCGAACATGGGACTCAAACTCATGACCCCAAGATCAAGAGTGACTGGCAACTGAGCCAGCCAGTTGCTCTATACTGATATAGGTTTAAAACAAAACAAAACAGTCAATTCAGTGGGGCTCACCTACTTAAGAGTATGGCACCTTTAAATAAAAAGATGATTGGTAAATACTATTTATATAATCAGCAGTAAGACTTTAAAGCAGTAGAAAACCAACAAAGCTGGGGAATGTGAAGAATTAGATTCTACAAATAACTGAAAAATCTAAACATTAGTGTACACCTCTGGTGTACTCTGCCAAGTTGTTAACCCTTTTATACACCTCAGTCTCTTAAAGTGGTAAAGTAACAGTACCTACCTCATAGGGTTGTTGTGAGGGTTGAATAAGCTAATACATGTCAAGTACCTAGAAGAGTGCCTGGCACACTGAGACTGCCAACAACTATTATTACTATCCACCCTATTATTTAAAAGTAATCAGTCATAAGGAGAATAGCTGGAATGAGTATGATTCTATGGGGCAGAACTGGATAACCTCAACTCAAAAGAGAAAGCTGTACAGCAGCAACCTGTACTTTTAAATCATGAATTGCATCAGTTGATAGCTTAACTATTTAACTTAGTGAACATTTTCTTAGCATCAATACTAGAGCCTAGAGATAAAACCTAAACCCTCTTTATAGAAGAGGGTTGCTCAGGCAGGCCCTGTGGAGACCTCAAATTCATAACCCACTGGGTGACATTATTGTCATCCTTTGCTTAACACAGTTTCAACAAGAAGTAGATAGTTGCTGGGGAAAGTATTTGTAGGCAGATCAATCCAGAAATGAATAGGTAAATACTAAAACATCAAAATAAAAAATAGTAAAAACAAAACCCCTAACTAAAAGATTGTTCAAAACACTATACTAAATAGGAATAAATCAGAAAAGGGATTTTCCTATAAAGTCTACATGGGATAAAGTGAAGCTTATGGTATTCATACAGATAAACTGTCAACGAAGCAAAATTTTCAAGTAAAAACTGGCCATTACATACATACATATGTATTTTTTATGTGTGTGTATATATATATATATATACTGTTTATTTGTATGTGTGTGTATATATATATATATATAAACTATTGCTGTGTTTATATTTACATGAAATTTAATCATTTTAAAAGCAAAAAAAAGGTCATTTTAGTAAAACAAAAATGCTGCCTTTAAAAACAAATTCTAAACTGTCTAAACAATTTAATATGCTTAGCAATCAACTGTCTCCTCTCCCATTTACAGAACGTTTTCAGCTGTTGAATAAGAATTTTCCATGCATTTTTAAAATAAACTGCCTCTAATTTTAAGATACATTTACACAGAATACAAGAATTCCTCATGAAATACATTTTATCACCTCTGAGAGGTAGATAACTGTAGGTTTCAGCTCTCTTTTTTTAACCTTAAAAATCAGTAATGAATAATTACAATGAAAAAATTAGTACCAATGACTAACTATACTTACTAATAAGGAAAGTTTCTTTAAAATTACTTTTTAATATTAAACTACAACTAATTATCAAAATATTATTCCCTACCAGCTAAAATATTATTTTAATCCTCCAAACTAAGTGTCCACGACCCCAAATGTTTTATTTAGGGCACAATTATACATACTACTTTTGTACAACAAAAATTATGCTTCATAAAGTTCAAAACAAAATGCCTCTTGGTAATATCAATTTAAGTCAGAGCCTGAGAGAAGGAAAACTTGATTAGATATTTACTACAAAATTCTTCATTTACATGATTCCTTTTTCTTCATGAAGCAAAAATAATGCTGACTTTTCTACGAAAGACTATAAAGAGGAGAAAGAAGCCACTGACCCTCTATTCCTCTTGTTCTGTAGTACAAAATATTTGAGACCCTTGTGAAAATTACTCTATGCTATAAGGTTGCCAGAAAACAAACTATAGTAATGGGGAAGAGGTGGAGCTTCGCTAAACATGGATTTCCCACCCGCCTCTCCCCCCAACTTTTCCCATACAAGCAACCTCTACTAATAAAACAAAGCACCCTTTAGCAAGTAGCTCCCTAAGGAACCTATCTCTCCTTGAGTGCTTACCACAATCTGATTTCTGGACAGCTGACCCAAAGTTTGATGATTTTACTGATCTTCAGAAAGCCACTGACTGGCTAAAGTCTTATTGGTGAACAGAGTCAAAAATCAGATGCCCCTGCCATACTTTACAGAATGAGGAGTTGGACAGCACAGTTACGTTTGGCTGTACTGTGGTGAAACAAATGAGGCATCTTCTTTTTGTCTTCAATTAGCCACGTTTGGGCTGAGTAGCTCTATTACATCTTCAAAAAACTGAGCTCCAGTTCTTGATGGAGATAGAGGAAGGTCATTGAGGAGGTGGTTCAGCTCAAGAGCTAAGTGAAAAATCTGTCTTTTGATTCAGTCCTGCTTGTGGATAGAAGTCATCTTCTGGATGGAAGAGGGAGTGAGATGACCTAGAGTCTTGAATTGGTGGATCTGCAGGAACAGAAACTAAATACAGTGGAGACCTCTTAACTGAGTAACACCACGAGATGGATTTCCTGACAATGTGTCAATATAAGCTAAATATAAAGATTAAATATGTGCACTGGAAATGATCATGCACTTGTTTTTCCAGATATCAAATGCATTTGCACCATTCTATGAATAAATACATTTTCCCAATAACTAACTTCTGTAAAATAATTTATGGAAAAACAACCAATTTAAAGGGGGAAAAAAGACCCATTCAAACAAAAATCCATATACTTTTGCTTTGTGAGTGCCATATCCTCACTTTAAAAACTCAGTTCTTTCGAATAACTTATTCTCTCCATCTACACAAACCACAATCTGTCTATCCATATAGTGTCAGCAGTAACATATATCAAATTCTGAGTTGTATCTTTTAGGATTTCTTATCCCCCAGAGAAATGAAATTCAAATACACTCAATGTAGTAAATTGAGGCTTGAATAATCGACCTGCTCAAAAATTCTGAGAACTGGATTAAGTAAGTTGAGTCCTACTTATCAATCAAAAAGAGAGTATATACCATTAAGGCAGGCAATCTTTAAATATGAGTAGGGATCACCTTAAATTTTCCTTAAACTTTCATCTGGAAAAAAACTAAGAAAGCCCACAACCAGATTATAGTGGATCTAGTTTTAAATTTCTCTATACATTATTAAGAATTCTGATGAACATTTGATTACTTACTCCCACTTAGAATTTGAGTACGTAAATTTACTGTATATACTCTCATAATTATTAGACCAAGGGTCACCAAACTATGGCTTGTGGGCCAAATACAAACCATCACTTCCTTTTGAAAATGAAGTTTTACTGGGACACGCCACGCTTATTTGATTATGTACTTACTGTCTATGACTAGTTTCATGCTACAATGGCAGAAAAAGTATTTGGAACAGAGACTGCAGAACCTAAAATACTAAGAACTGTCCCTTTTCAGGAAAAAGTTTGCCAACCCCTAACATAGATGATTATTAAAGCATACATAAAACAATTTACACTTTAAGTTGTTTTGAAAGAAAGAAAACAAGTAGAATTAAAATTAGGTATAGGCCAACCATAACAAACTTACCATAAAAAGAAACCCAAAGTAAAATAAGTCCCAAGAGGACACTTTACTTGGTGCTGATTCAGATGAAGAATTTGATCCTACCTTAACATTACCAGTTTATTTTTAAGAGTATATACTATGCTATGTAAATGCTATGGAACTGATATATTCAAGAGTATATAGATAAATGCCATGGAACTGTTCACTTAAAAATGGTTTATTTTATGTTGTGAATTCATCTCAATAAATTATTAAGAGTATATACAGTATTTTACAGGTTTCTACCTTTAAGTGGGCCACATTATATTGCAGTGGTTAAATATGTAAGTTACATCTTACCTAATAATGTGGTTTCTCCAAAATCTCTTAGATCATCTCAGACCCTTGTGTATATTTCTTCTTTGCCAGTAGATGGAGACAACACCACTGAAAGTTTAAAAGACATCATTCCCTGTTTAAAGGGAGCTTGCTGGTCTGAAAACTAGGGGAACCCTAACCCAAGATTTCTTCAGTTATTTTTTAAAAAAGCAGACAGAATGGCTATGCCAAAACCAGAAATCCAAGGGATTATACCGAATATTAACTATGGACATCCTCAAAAATTTACTGAAGGGAGACTAAACTCTGTACACAATTTAGTAGCTAATAAATCATAGTAATAAAATGCAATCATCTCTATAACTTATAAGATTCAAACTTCCTGCTCAATGCTCCTAAGTATAATTCAGAATATGTAAGAAAAAGAGTTCTTTGAATTCCAGAGGTAGATGCAGTACATGTATGGTGTTTATAAGTATTAGTTTATGCACCGCTAGAAGACTTTTCTTCAAAATAAGACAACTATCCTGATCAACATAAAAATCATAAGAACTTTATTTAAAAAAAAAAAAAAAAGAAGAGAAGGCAGAAATGGTGGAAGCAGCAAGAAAAAATTCAACTGTATGGTCACAATAAAAAGAAATGCTCATGAAAGGGAAGAATCAAACTCATCTACTTTCCAAGTTTCTTACTTCACTACTAAAAATGATATAAACAAACCAAAATTGTCTGCAAGAAACAAATTTCAAATCTGAAAGCTTAAGACGTCATCAAAAAATAATTATTTAATATGTTTCAAATAACAACTTTCCTTTCCAAATTCAGAGCCTGAACAAAAAACAAAGTTATCAAGCTAAAAAGAGAGAACTGAGGTATTACTGAACTATTTATATTTGCCACAAGACTCCTGTCCTTGATGTGGACTAAACAAGAACAACCCATTTGGCAGAAAATGTCTTATTAAGAAAAAAGATTACATTAAGCCAAATAATATCTAGTCAAAAAAAATACAAAAATCTTAAAATCCTTTATTTTTATGTATATTTTGCTCATTCTGTAATCAAAAGCCAGATCTAAAACAAGCTTCCACAGAAGGGAAATTAATATAGTGCTCAAATATTAGCATGCCTGAAATCCCTATCTAGGTTAAACCAGAACTAACAATAATTGCTAAAATAAATTCTCTTATGACTCATTACAAGATGAAGTAGGTAAAGCAGATCCCGAACCACAAACTTCTATTTAACTCTGAACAATTTTTTGATTCCCAAAAGATAGGAACTATCATGTGGCAAGAAAACTACACCCATATTCTAACTGCCTATTAAGAGCACAAACAACCATGAGCTCCTTTCCATCTTCCACACAGTAAATATTCTGCAGCTTTATTTAATCCTTGGGTTGTCTTCCTCTTGACAAAGAACAAACTTTTTGACCCTTTCCCAACCCTTCAACAACTGGTGTGTATGAAGGTAATGCTAATTAAGTAACCACCACCACCACCACAGAAAGGCACTTGCAATTTTCAAAGTGTATTCATATAAATAAACTGAAATTTTATGACAGGAAAATCTCAAACGTAAAGAAAAAACTATGGCCAACACACATAATTCACAGTGAAATGTAAATAATATTTGCATTTTGCATGGTTACCTGTCCACCAACACAGATGAGGGAGAAATTATTTTACCCAGATTTTTAAAGCAGTAACTGGAAGAATGTCCTGGAATTCTAGGATTAATATAAAGTAGATATACCGAACTGCAATCTACAGATGATATTACTACAAAAGGAAATAAAAATGACCAACAAGGAATGAATTTTTATACTAACTGGATTTTTTGAGGGGAAAAAAACCACACACAAAAAAAAAACAAAAAACACCAGGTGTTAACCTGGAAAGTTCTTCTTGGGGATCTATGATGTCAGTGCTCCTGCCTCCACCTGCTGGCAAACAGATTATGAAACTAGCAGAGATCACTGGTTTAAAAAATTGACATTTTTGGGTAACTTTAATGTCTTATGTAATTATTTAGCATGATGCTACTCTGTGTTAATAAATCAGTAATATATTGATTAAATCAATTAGGAAAAAACACACTGAACTTTACACACACAAAATTACAAAAGATTTCTTGGTTCAGAACATTGTCTAACAGGCCAAATCAATTTATAAATTGTTTTTAATTACCTGATAAATGACATCTTGGAAAAGGACTGGAAAAGTAAGTGCTGCATCTTCTAGCTCATTTAGACTACAGTGTACTAGTGTTTCATCCTTAAAATAAAAAGCACATACCAAGTGAACCAAGATATTTAAAGAAATTTCAAATGATAATTTCATGTACCCATGACCACCAAACACATTTATGAAAGTACTCATTCATATGTGGAATTTCATATTTATCATACATTCCTATGTGTGGCATAGCAATTTGGGATAGAATTTTCTAAGCCACTTGTTCTCAGGTATGGTCCCTGGACCAGCAAGTAGTATCAGCATCATCTGCAATGAAATGCAAATAAATAACTAGTTAGAAATGCAATATTCTAACTAGTTATAAATGCAAATCTTCCAGCTCCACTTGTGATAATTCAAAAACTCAGAGGGGGATAAAGAGGAGCTCAGCAATCTTTACTTAATAAGCCCTTGAGGTGATCCCGATGCATGCTCGAGTTTGAGAACCAGTGTTCTGAATTCTGCAGCTGCCAACTTTCTGTTAAGTAAAATAAATATATACTCCTTTTATTTAACAATTAGCAAATGGAAGTTTAGAATCTAATTATATTTAAAAGTACATATATTCTTTAACCTTTTATAAAGATTTTTATATTATAAAATGGATGCCTCAGTATCTGTTGAATATGTTTCAGACATAAACATTATTTAACTAAATTAGCAGTCAATGAAGACTTGTCATTTTTGATTATCAAACCCTGTTTGCTATTAAGAGGATAAGAAGGTGAGGATCATTCCATCTAAAATATGTGCCAATATTTATATTTCTTAAATAATGATTAAAAAACAGTTCTATTTGTAGTTAAGTGAGAAAACACTTTTTTTGGGAAAAAAACTGCCAATGACTACCCCCAAAATTTTCTAATGCATTTACAATGAATTAAAATGAAACACAAATGTTCATACCTTGTGATTCCACATCTTATTAGCTGGAGTGTTTCTTTTAACCTAAAGTTAACTCTGGGGAGGCAAAGAGCAAAAAATACTCTAGATATGCCTCATTTTCTTTTAATAGCATATCAGTCTATATACATTTCAAGGTATTGTCTTAGCATCTTAAAAAAAGGTATCCTCTTTCCCTCAACTGAATCATAACTAATTCTACTACTTCTTCATCTACAGATTATCTAAATTTTGATCATTCTTCATTTACTTCTATAAAATTACTCATTTGTGCTCAGCCAAGTCCTATCTTTTCCATTTACCTTCACACTGGATTAAAAATTATATGGTCAAGCTTGCTATCATGACCACATCAACTTCTAACACAAAAATATAGCAAAAGCTCTTTTTTCAGTTTCTTCACTAACTTGCACATCAAATCTACACTACTCATAATAAGCTTCAAAATTTTTCTCTTGCTACTTATCCTCTAATAAATGCCTAATACTTAGGACCTCTGGAGAGCTCTCTTACATCTCTTTGGCTAGACAAAGGCTAAGGTGCTAAACTCTCAAAAAAGAAATATACATGCTAGTTACGATTTCAAATAATAAACTTTTCCTCAAGAAAAAAATTTTATGAGAAATAAACCATATTTCCAATTATAGGATACCAGTAACAAAGGCTAAATAATAACATGCGTCCCAATATTATGTAACAGGTAGGTGTTCAGTTCTCAAAGCTCTTCTGGTACCCTAAAACATAAATTTTTAACACACCAAGAGAGCATATTAAAGGTTTTATTAGCATTAAGAGCTCATGTTTTTAGGAGTCTATTAATAAAGTCATTGGTATTAGATAAGGCACAAAAATAAGAAGAGAAAAAGGGCTATAATCTTGCATGTCCATTCACTGGAACCCAGATAATATTTGGTTCTTTAAGAAAACATAATCCTGACACCACCCCCAACCCCCACCCAAAAAAAGACGAAATCTATGCATGAAATGAAGTAGGATTTATCTGGAAATTTAAAAAAAAAAAAAAAAAATCACAAGGGTCTCAGAAATACGGGGGAAAGAACTAATTTCAAAAATGAAAGCCTAATTTATTTTCAAAGAGTACCTGATGACAACCAAATTGAGGACCCTGGCATTAGACTATGCTTCAAATAAAAACATTTCACAACATCCACGACATGTTTTGTAAATGTTTAAGATTATTCACATTCACTTTTAACCTTCCAGGTATTTTGGGCTAGTGTTTTAAAAAAAGAAATTTAACTCCTTTATTTTCTCTACCAGTACATATAATATACTTACCAGGTCTAAAACTAGGGAGAATTCTGGTGTGCTTCTTGTTTTCAATGGAAGAGCAGGTTTCCTATTTAGTTGTTCTTCTGTCAGTGGTGGAACATGTTTGATGAAATAATACCTACAAATCAAATTTTAAGAAAATCTCATTTCTACATTTTATAAATATAAAACATATTACTAAATTCAGCTTATATTTAAATCTTTAATTAAATAATATACTTTTAATCTAGTAAACCAAAACCTGTGAAGTGTAAATAAAACTGAAAATATTAGTACTTCAGTAACTCAGTAACAGTATTAATACCTACAAGTTACATGTTCTTTCCAATATACCATTCAGCCACCCGTCCACCGTCTTTCATTCTGCTCTAAGAGGGAAAGGAAAACAAAAAAACGAAAAACTCACGGGTCAAATACTTCCCAGTCTTCTTCATAGGTGGCCTCTGCGTGAGTTGATGAATAGCCACTATCTGGAGTTACTGGTGCTTAATAAAATGAAAAATAAAATGTTACTTTTACTCACTATGAAGTATACCTTTTTACCGTTTTATATGATTTTCCTGAAGCCCTGTGTATTTTAGGTTCAAGAAATGACAGAAATAACTTACAAACAGTAATGCAAAGCAAATTTATTAACACAGAGATCTAACTCCAGACCCAAAAGAAAAAATTGCCATTATAGGTAAAATGGCAAGCTAAATCATGGCTGGCAGAATTAAAATCCCTCACAGCCAAGAGAAAATTTACTACTTATTATCAGAAACATACACTCCATGAAATTTCAGTTTCTAGTTGAATGGTGTTTTATATATATAACCATAAATATTTCATGGGGCTCTTGTAAGCAGTGACACTTAGCAAACTACCTTGTACATGTACAAGCAATCAGTATATATTTGTGCTGACCTTACAGCCAGAGGTAGTTTTTAACCTGAGATCTATGAACACTCCTTAAGAGGTTCATGAAACTCCCTTGAAAACTTATGAAAAAATGTATGTACATTTTTACAGGAATCTCAGTGGTGTCTAAATTCTTTTAAAAAGTTACAAAATGCTGCTCTGTATAGAAACCATTGCTTTAGAAGAGGCTTTATTTTACTCCTAATTTACAAGCAACCTAAAAATAATCATGAAGTAATTCTATATTCCATGACAAACGGTCCATTCTACATTTAAGTTAAAATTCCGTCAAATGATAGAGCATTAGAAATAATGCCGGGAGGGGAGCCCGGCTAGCTTACTTGGAAGAGCATGTGACTCTGAACCTTAGGGTCAAAAGTTCAACCCCCATGTTGGGTGCAGAGATTACTTAAATAAACAAAAAACTTAGAAAGAAATTATGCTGGGAATTTTCTAAGACAATAATTATAACAAATTCAAGGAGAGGACAAAATATAAGATTTTAAGTTAGAAGTACTGTCTCCGAGATAAAAGTTCAAGATGGATGCTACAGACTGAATGTTTGTGTCCCCACAAAATGGTATTTGGAAGTGGAGACTTTAGGATGTCATGAGGTCATCCACCCTCATAAATGGGACTAGTGCCCTAATAAAAAAGACTCGAGAGAGTTCAAATATTTTCTACCATGTAAGGATACATGATAAGACAACTGTTTATGAACCAGAAAGCAGGCCCTCACCAGGTAATGAATCTGCTTGGTGCTCTGATGTTGGATTTCCCAGTATCCTAAACAGAGAAATAAATTTCTGCTGTGTATATGCCACCTAGTCTGTGGTAATTTGTTTTGCAGCCCAAAAGGACTAAGACAGTGGGAACTCAAAAAAACTTCTATAGTCTATCTATAGGAATGCAATATTGGTGGATAATAGTCAAAGGACAAAAACAAATCCTTTTTGGTATTACCAGGTATTCTTTTTTTTTAATGATTTTATTTCTTTTAGAGAAAGAGAGACAGAGAGACTGAGTACATGCATGAGTGGGGAGAGCAGCGGGAGGGGAGGGAGAAAAGGGAGAGACTCTCAAGCAGACTCTGCAATGAGTGTAGAGCCTGACATGGGGCTCCAGTTCATGACCCTGAGATCATAACCTGAGCCAAAACCAAGAGTCAGACATTTAAATGACTGAGCCACCCAGGTGCCCCATCATGTATTAATTCTTTGTGTATGTATTACCTTGTAACATAGTATATATGTTTAGTGAATAACAATAAATGTAAAGCATAATTTCTGTCCATCTAACAACTTTATGCCAATAACAGTTCATTAGCACAAGGGGTAATATAAAATATATCTTCTAACTACTTCTGTTTCAAATTCCTATTAACTTCAGAGAAAGGGGGAAAGGAAGCAATATTTGAGTGCACTTTTATTTCACCCCATTTAGTTTTCAAAACCCTGAATTATTTCCCCTTCTAAAGGTCAGAAAACCATCTCAGAAGTTGACTAAAATCACAGAGCTAAATAAATAACAGAGCCAGTCTCCTTCCTTCTTATTCTCTTTGGCTAGGTTTTTGAAGTTAAGGAAAAGTAATAGTAATAACCTTTGTCACTCATAGTCATCTTTTAAGATCAGCAAAAATTTTTCTTCTATCCTGTCATGATGCAGAGTAAATGCAATGTGCCACCTCATCATTTTGTGCACTTATTTCTAATATCACTCCCCACACTGTATAGTAATTTTTGTGATTACTTGGCTCATCAACTAGATTGTGTACTCTTCAGGGTCAAAGAGCACTTATCTTATTCATCTTTATAAATAACGTCCAACACAGAAAATAGGTGTTCAATAAATGTTAGGGGGAAAAAATGAATGAGACAACTGGAGTAAATTTTATTTCCCACCCTCCCCCCCCCCAGAAACCACTAATGTTATAGAAATCCCTTCTCTGTTTTTGCTGTTGTCAGAAAAAAATAAATAAATACAAATAAAAATAAAGGATTATAAAGCAGCACAAAAATAATGAACAAACATCAAACAAGAGGCCTGGACTTAAGTCTATTTGCCCAAACACTGGAGAAGGAATGAGCATAAAATGATAGGTGAAGAGTTGGCTCCTTTGTAAATCTTATCCACCCAAGAATGAACTATGTGCATAATCCATTTTGATTCGACAGATTCATTATTATTCTTAAATAACATTATAGGGCACCTGGGTGGCTCAGTCAGTTAAACAGCTGCTTTTGGCTCAAGTCATGATCCCAGAATCCTGGGATCAAGTCCCACCATCAGGCTTCCTGCTCATTGGGGAGTCTGCTTCTCCCTCTGCCTATTGCTCCCCCTGCTTGTACTTTCTATCAAATAAATAAATAAAATCTTTAAAAATATGTAACATAATTTAACATTATAGATATTATGTTCAACATTATAGAAATTAATCTTTTATTACACCAGTTTAAAATAAATCTTTCCTGTTATGTCGCTTTTCTCTTCCTATTGGTATTATTGGGTTGTGCTATATAGAAGTTTCATGATTGTATGCATTTTTTAAATGTTTTGTCTTATTTTTTCAAGTTTCCCTTTATATTCAAGGGAAGAACATCACTCTACTTCTATCAAACTACATTTCTGAACCAATACATATGTGCTAGGGTCTCTCAAATGCCTGGCATCACAGGAAATAAAAAGACAAATCTAAAATAAAAGCCTGAGATCTTGTTCCTTTGGGAAAAGATGACCATCCTCAATTTTATTTCTGCTTTTAAGCATGATGGAACAGTTTCATCTTTTAGCTTTATACATCTGTATATCACAACCCTCAGAGGTAATAAATTCTGATCTCATATGTTCTACATTTCCATGACAACTGGCTCAGGCTCCTAACAAGTATGTTAGGCCTTTATAAGGATCCAGAATTAGGCTGCAAAGTTTGGATGTAGGGAAAGATCTAGGAAAAGAAGCTTCTTTTGGGAGGATGTCATCTATATATGCAATAAATCTGAAGGTATACGGCTGCCCGTAGGTGGGAACTCAGGTCTGAGACTGGTACAATTATATCAAGAGTGTATGTTTTGCTGTTTGTGTTAAAATTCTCTAAATAGAGTAGTACAAATAAACTGTAAAATGACTAATGCTCAATCAAAACAACCTTTTTTTTTTTTTTTAAAGGATTTTATTTATTTGTCAGAGAGAGAAAGCACAAGCAGGGGTAGCAGCAGGCGGAGAAGCAGGCTCCCTGCTGAGCGGGGAGCCAGACACAGGACTTGATCCCAGGATCCCAGGATCATGACCTGAGCCAAAGGCAGATGCTTAACTGAGCCATCCAGACATCCCTCAAAGCAACCTTTTAAAAAAATTCAATTTCAAAATGACCAGATTTGAGGGAGAAAGTTTTAATTCCAATTTTAATTGTTTTATGTTCAAGAAAGAAAAACTTATGTATTTGATCTACTAAAGAAAAAAAATACTACATTCTTATACATTATTCATGAAGATGCATTAAGAAAAGGAATTTTCTTCACCTGTAAGGGGTGGGATATCACGATTAACTGTTTCTTCTGCTTCTTCTAAACCATTATTTATTGATGGCCTCACTTGAACTGCTTGATTTGAGTAAGCTGCTCCATTTGTTGACGTAGTAGTACTGGTAGTGATCTCATCCACCTGTTCCATATCAAGTTGTTTTACTATCTCTTCAGCTTCCACAGCCTGTCCTGGGGAATCGGATCCTGATGTTCCTATAATCAAGATTCAGTATGCTCACAACCATCATTTAAAAACTCAACAGGGGGTTTGGGGAGAGGCATAGATGTTTTCAAGGGTACAAACTTACAGCAAGTAAACATAAGCCCTAGAGACTTAATGCACTGTAGAGTAAATATAGACAAATATTGTATTATAATCCTCAAACTTGCTAAGAGACTAGAACTTAATTGTTCTAACCACTAAAAAGAAAAGGTAATTATGTAATGTGATAGAGGTGCTAATTACTGTTACAAGGCAATCATATTACAATATATAAATGTATCAAATCAACTTGTTTACCCTTAAATTTACATAACATAGGTGAAATATATTTTAATAAAAGTGAAATTAAATAATGAAAAGTAAACTCAAATATTTGGAAAAATTAAATGCAACAGAGATAGAGCTGAGGATACCACTGTTAATGAGTCTTTTCCAGACATTTCAAATATCAGGAATAAAGACTATTATAAAATAGAATGATATTGGTGCACTAAATTTTCTTAAGTGTTCAAATAGTTTAGAAACACCTATTTATAGTCAAACCACAGTCATAATTTAGAACTTTTAAACATTTTTGAGATGTAACTGACAATATAACCTTGTATAAGTTTCAACTGTATGTGTTGATTTAATACATTTATATATTGCATTATGATTACCAACCTAGCCTTAGGCTAACAACTCTATCCTGCCATATCATAACCATTTTTCCGTGGTGAGAAAATCTAAGATCTAGACTCTCTGCAACTTTGAAGTATACAATACAGTATTGGTGGCTATAGAACTTTTCAATAAAGCATATATCATTTATTAAATGCCTACTATGAGCTAGGCATTATATATGTATTTTTTCCATTATCTTTTCCATTATTTATTTCCATTAAACAGCTCCTGATTCTTCCAGTACTAAACATCCTAGCCACTGTAGGCAGTTGTAATTTTTAAGCCAAACGTAGTTATCCAAGAATGAGCTAACTGTTCGCCTAATCATCAGACCATTTTTATTCAGAGACATAAGAACAATTTCCTAACAAGATTCCATCTTAGTAACAAAGACTGAAGTTAGTTTCCTCATCATACTCGACCACCACCTAGATGACCCTGTTGCCCAATTCTTCCACTATGAGATAAACCCAACTTGCTTTTTTTTTTTTTTTTTTTAAAGATCTTATTTATTTATTTGACAGAGACAAAGCAAGAGAGGAAACACAAGCAGGGGGAACAGGACACAAGCAGGGGGAGCGGGAGAGGGAGAAGCAGGCTTCCCACCGAGCATGGAGCCCGATCCCAGGACCCTGAGATCATGACCCAAGCCAAAAGTAGAAGCTAAACAACTGAGCCAGGTGCCCCCCAACTCTATTTCTTTATGGAATGCTCCAAATGTCATTTTCAATAAAATCAACCTCCCATACTCATTCTCCATTACAGCTTCAACCCCTTTCCAAAAATCTTTTCCTGACATCTTTCCCACAACATACTAACTGAATCAGAACTTTTACTTCCATTGCTGCTACCAGATCAATGGTTTTCCACTGGATTTGCAAAAAATGCCTGTTCCTTTGAGACTGATGTCACTTAGCTATATAATTCTTCACTTATCCCCACTGCTGACATCTCCCAACTGCAGCCAGCACCCTCTCTTAATCAGAGGAATTTAACACCTAGCTACCAGTTCAAAGCTCTATTAAACATCACCTAGTGGTTACTACAGGTGATATCAATGACTCACCTAAGACTAATCCTTAAAGGTCTTCCCCTCTTTAGCTCCTTCTTCGTTTATACTGCTTTCTTAAGCAACTACCATGACCATAACCTGGACATTCACACTAAGCAAAGGTTCATCTCTGAAAACTAAAGTTCAAATATATCAATCTCCTACCATAACCTAATCTTTTATCTATCTCATATTCCTATTATATGTGATCTTCAAGTTTGATAAAAGCCAGTCTCTTTCATTCTAAACAATCCCTCAACAGCTCGTTCCCCACCCTCTCATTTAGTTAGATTTCATGGTATATCACTTAAACCACTCTCAAACCAGCAGCTTCAGGATCCTTGCTCAGTCTTGACCGTCTTTCCACTATCATCCATTACAGAAATCCCTCTTGAATCAATGTAACTTACAGCTTACTACTGTGTGTGTTTCTTTAAATTATACCCAAAAGCAAACACTCTAAACCTTCACTGTTCTCTTCAATCCTTGCCACCAGGAATCTCAGCACATGTCATCATCATCTCCTTCAAAGAAAAAGTTGTAACTATCAAACATCAACTTCTTCCGTCCAAACACTTATTCCTCCAAGATCTTAGTTCGGTGAACCATACAGACCATTTATTATTTAAATTTATTTATTATTTATTTATTATGAAAAGACCATAGGTATTTTAATACCTGTAAACTGATAATACAATAGACTATTGCTTAAGCCCAGATTTCTAAGCTCCACACCACACCAGAAGGACAATGGCTATCAGACATTTTATTGGCTGTTTCATGACATCTCAAACTCAGCATGGCCCAAATTAAATTCAATTATCAGTCTTCCAAAACATAACTTCCTGCTCTTGAAAAAATAACCTTGTGTCCTCTTAATCTCTTGTTTCTTTCATCTCCAATCTGTGCCCAAAATGTGTCCATTCTGTATCTCTGATCCTTCTTCTTTTCTCCAGTATCACCATTAAGGTTGCATGAAGTCTCACATGGACTACAACTCCAATTGTTTACCCCACACACCTTTTTAGAATGTAGCCAACACACTACTGCCAAAGAGCTTTTTGGAAAACACAAATCTGTTCATGTTACTCACCAGTTCAAAATCTTTCAAACATCCTTCACTGACTAAGGATAAAATTAAAATTAAAATACCTTACCATGTTAGCTTTAATTTGCCAAATTTATAACTCTATCTTAACCCATCCTATGCACTCCTCAAATCCAATGCTCCATCTGTAACAAACTAATTTGTTTCTCAAACACACTATGCCTTCCCTCATGCTGCTCATTCTATCTGGAATGCCCTTTACCAGATTCAGCTTTTCTATAAAGACTATTGTTAGATGCCACCAAGAATATAGAACCACTCCATTCTTTGAATATCCCACTGTCCCATACCTCTATCAATGCACTTATAAACATTTATAATACCTATTTATGCATCTCTCTCCCTCTTGTAAAAAAGCAAGCTCCTTGAGGGCAGGGACCATGTGTTAATCATCCTTGAATCTCCAGGGACTGGTACAATGGCTGGGACATGGCAAATATTGAACTGAATGAATTGAAATCTTCAAATCACCCCGTCCCATACTTAAGTATAATTATCCTCTCTCACGGTTAAGAGGCTCCATTTGAAGAACTGAACCAAGGTAACACAGTTAAAGAGTGGCAGAGCTGGAATTTTAAAACAAATCTTTCTAATTCCAATGCCCATTCTTTTTCCACCACACCACACCAGCTATTTCCAAAGATGTTCTAAGGGGCACTAGTTTTACAAGATATTAATTGATCTTCCACAGAAAAGGGTTCTTAGAGTAACATATGTCTAGAAAATACAGGGTTAAACAAAGTTAAAGGTAGTTTTTTGTTTTATTTCTACTACAGGATTTCACAAGTTCTTTCATGTGCCAACATGCATTATTTTTAGCTCCCAGAGCATTCAGATTTTATAGTGTACCACTCTGTCTTTTAAAAATTATATTATTATCCAGAAACATAATTCAGACTAGAATTTAAATAATCAGGCAACAAACATTTAACGGCTATTTTCCATGTGCCCCATGCTATATCAAACAACTTGGTAGATGCAAAAATAAAGACATAATCTCTTACCCTCATGTAATCCAGATACTAAATCAGCATTTATGAAATTAAGAATTAATCATCAAAAAAGATAGGACACTAAGTTAAATCATTAATAAATATATGTGGGGCAGGACAACCTGGGTAGCTCAGTCCACTGGGCAGCCAACTCTTGGTTTCTGCTTGGGTCATGATCTCAGGGTTGTAGGACCGAGCCCCACACTGAGTTCTATACTCAGCATGCAGTCGGCTCTCTCCCTTTCTCTCCCTATTCTAGGGCCCGTGTGCATGCTCTCTCTCTCAAATAAATAAAATCTTAAAAAAAAAAAATATGTTGGGAAACAATCCAAGTTTCATTCTTTTGCAAAGGCATTGTATAATGAAAACCTTCAATTCATTTGCATTAGAGTAGTTACTAATTATCCAAATTAAAGATCCCTAGTGGGTCTTTGATGATAAATGATAAATGACAAAATGTGTTACAAATGATAAAAATGTGTTACAGAAAATCACCTAGTCTCAGTTCACTTAAAATATTTAACAAACTCTACTTTATTAATCTAGAATATTTAGAATATTTCTGGATTCTCTCCTGGTACACACTAAGGATTACAGAAATCATTCCAACATAAAAGAAATTACTTACTTTCCCTCCAGGCCAAAGTTTAGCATTTAACTTTTTAGGTAGTGAAATACTTTAACAGAATTAAACATGACCTAAATTTATCTCAGTCACACACACAAAAATGGTCTTTAAGAAGCTGTGTATTTTTTTTTCTTCAGGAGCTGTGTATTTTTAACGAGGCTGAAAACAAACATAAGATGCTGACAAAATATGCCAGTAAAATCAAACAAATCTTTTAAAAAACTAGGAAAACTATTAATTTTTTAAACCCAAATTATGGGTAATAGAGTTTATACTTACCAATTTTTTTTTTGAAGATTTTATTTATTTATTTGACAGAGAGAGACACAGCAAGAGAGGGAACACCAGCAGGGGGAGTGGGAGAGGGAGAAGCAGGCCTCCCGCCGAGCAGGGAGCCCGTTGTGGGGCTCCATCCCAGAACCCTAGGACCATGACCTGAGCCGAAGGGCAGATGCTTAATGACTGAGCCACCCAGACGCCCCTATACTTACCATTTTTATTTGCTGGTGAAAAAAAGTTGAAGACAGGAGAAAATATGGTCCCCAACAATGTAGTCCTTGGAGGACTGCCAGAGGAAGGATTATCTTCTAATTTTCCATTTTGTTTTACATGTTGATTTGTCATTTCGTAACTACCAGCTTCTAAGAAAGAAACAAGAAAAAGGTTGCAATCTAGAAAACATGACTTTAAGAAATGTTTTAAACAATTCACTATGAAAATAATTTTTTGCCTCAAAATACTTCATAAAAACTGATGAACATTTAATGTTAAGAAAGCTGATTACTTAAAAATACCCTGAGGTAAATAAATTATAAATCAAATTATTTTTATAACAAGTTTACTTATAATGTTTTATAACTGCTACAAAGCATGCGGACATCTATAAGTATATAGAATGAAAGGCTTCAAAATCCACAGTGTTACAGAAAATGAAATAAATTCTTTGTAAGTAAAGCAAGTTACATCAAAAACATAAATGCAAGATCCTGTCCTTATTTACATTTTGGGAGGCTGCCTACTTCACAAAACCAATCTATTAGTAACAAATAATGGCTAAATAAGTAGAGGCAACATAGATCTACTGAAGTAGACTGTGTACAGCAGTGTCCATTACTTATATGTACCCAAGCATCATTTCAGAGTGGTTAAGAACAGGTTTTTTTGTCTTTTGGTTTTTTAGTTTCTTACGAATAAAAAAAATTTCATGGATTTTTGGAAAATATACAATAAAAATAAGTTCAAACAAATGTGTTTTGATTAACCACCCTTGATCTTCTGCAACTTTACTTGGTATCTACCACATTCTTTCCTTCTTTGAAATAGGTCTTTTGTTTCTTTTTCCCTAATTCTAACAAAAGAGATATAACACTGAATTGAGGGGAAAGAGGTAAGGAATTATTCTTGTTGTTGTGTTTAAACCAGCAATGGTTAAAAAGCAGTAATCCACACTCTAAAGTGTTGTTTTTTATAGCTTTCTCTGCTTGTCCTTCCTTCTCCTTTTTGACTTTGAGAAGCTTCTCAGCAATACTATAAGATACTGACCTATAACAAGGTTTATCAAGAGCAGCACTACTGATTTTGGGGCTGGATAATTCTTTACTGAAGGAGGATGTCCCGTGCATTGTAGGACGTTTAGCAGCATCCCTAACCTCTACCTATTAGATGCGAGTAGTAACCTCCCAACAAGCTGTGACAACCAAAAAGGTCTCCAGATATTAATAAATGTCCCCTGGGGACAAAACCACCCCTAGTTAAGAACCACTGCCCCAATGATACAAGTCCCCTCTGAGCTATGAAATTCCATGATCCAGAAATAAATTCTTTATACATATTTCAATACATTAAGTTTGATACATTAACTCAGTTAACTGAATTTATTAGAGGTCAAAAATGTTCCATATACATTTTTCTGATAAACAGCATAAAACTTGCTGCTCTTTATTTATTTTAACTCATCAAAATAGATTTATACTAGATAGATGAATTTTTATTTTATTTCATGCTACTGATACTTAATACAAAGATTACAAAAATAAGGAAAAACTCTAGAGTCAATTTTTAAAAAAAGAAAATAAACATGACAGGTAAGATCTCTGCTTACACCTAATAGAACAATATCTAAATATTAACAAACCTCCATTTACTTGACTTTTCCGTCTTACTCGAGATATCTGTTTGTTAGGCTTTTCTCCTGCTCTTGGTGTTGATGTGATCAAATTATTATCTATATCACGTTCAATCCTACTCCGTTTCGAAGGATTTTCTCTCTCTTCCTTAAGATATGAGGAAAAAAAACATGCATTGAGCATAGGCATTCTGCCTTTAGATTATACTTATAAAATATGATATGTAGCCCCATGTTCATTGCAGCATTATTTACAACAGCCAACAGAAACAATTTAAGTATTTATCTGTAGATGAATGGATAAGGAATATAAGGGGTGTGTATACACACACACACACACACACACACCACACACACATACAGAACTATTATGCAGCCATTAAAAAGAATGAAATCTTGTCACTTATGACAATATGGATGGACAACATGGATGTGCTAAGGGAAGATAGTTAAAATACTGTATGACCTCACTTTTATGTGGAATCTAAGTAACAAATGAAAAAAACACTCTGCTCATAGATACAGAGAACAGACTGGTGGTTGCCAGAGGTGGGTGATGAGGGTTGGCAAAATGGGTGAAGGGACTCAAAAGGTACAAATTCTAGGTCTAAAATAAATAAGTTATAGAAATGTAATGCAGAGCATAGAAACTATAGTTAATACAGTACTGCATGTTTGAAAGTTGCTAAGAGAATAAATTTTAAAAGTTCTCATCACCAAAAAAAGTTCTAACTATGGTGACAGATGTTAGCTTATGTGATGATCATTTTACAACACATATATATAAATATCAAATCATTCTGTTTTACATTAAACCTAATATAATGCTGTATATCAATTATACCTCAATTTTTAAAAAATAGATATAATATGTGTAATATATTTGTTTTCCACATCCAGAAGAAACAAAATAGAACTACATAATATCCAACAGCGCTAAAAAACAAAGGAAAAATCTGACAATGTTAGAAGTTAATTATTAATGTACTTATAATACACAAATATAACTAGAGCAACCTTATAATTCAGATCCTTTCTCCTGGGTCCATTTAATTATCTATGCTGGGCGCTGGGTGGCTCAGTTGGTTAAGCATCTGCCTTCCGCTCAGGTCATGATCCTGGAGTCCCAGGATCATGTCCTGCATTGGGATCCCTGCTTGGTGGGGAGTCTGCTTCTCCCTCTGACCCTCCCTCCTATTGTGCTCGCTCTCTCTCTAATAAATAAAATCTTTAAAAAAATTTTTTTAAATAAACTGCGCTACTGAAATACTCAATTGTACAATCTCCTCTGAGTTTTCAGTAATTTTCCCCTATTCTTAAACTTGTCTGAAAGAACAGTGGTTGTTTCCTTGAGCACTCAGGATAAGAGACAGAATCCCATTGGAATTTGCTGACATATCACATATTACCAAAAATAAGAGGGCCTGCCATGCCACACCCCAATGCCAACCTCAATTCTTTAACTGCCCAAATTAATACTAAAGAGTCTACTCCCTAATAAAGCTCCCTATTCATTTCCTTTTATATGGGGGAAATCCACATTACCAGTTAACACTGTTTTTGTAGTACTGACTAAAGGACTATATGCCAAGTATACTCTCAAAGTATACTGATTTTTCTTCATTTGTACATCTATTTTTCTCATTTGTAAAAGTTTTCTAGAATCATCTACCACATGAATGATTTTCTTACATTACTGTCATACTGGCATATAACTCCTTGGTTTTTTGTTTGTTTTTTAGTAATCTCTACACCCAACGTGGGACCCTAACTTAAAACCCCAAGATCAAGAATCCCATGCTCTACCAACTGAGGAAATCCAGTGCCCCAATTCCTGCTGTTTTAATGAGACTACCTGGTATCTTTTGGTAAGGATTACATTTTTAAATCTATATTATATATAATCCGTATATATAATCATTATTCTTATTCAACAGGAATAACTCCTTTATTTGTACTGAATATTTGTATCCAATGCTTTTATATCAGAACAAATAAGATGCTTCTATACATTTTCTAAAGGTTGAATATTATTTTATTATTTTTAAAACAAACCTTGGTATTGTAAATGGCTACAATTACAACTGCCTATTTGGATCAATTCTACTCCTGAAGCCAGTACTACACTATATGTTAACTAACTTGAATTTAAATAAAATCTTGGAAGGAAAAAAAAAGATATTAAAGATTATTAAAAAGCTAAACTTCCCTAAAAAATAATTCCCTACTTAGATCAAAACAAAGATAATAATATTGGGGTGCCTGGGTGGCTCAGTGGGTTAAAGCCTCTGCCTTCAGCTCAGGTCATAATCTCAGGATCGTGGGATCGAGCCCCGCATGGGGCTCTCTGCTTGGTGGGGAGCCTGCTTCCCCCTCTCTCTCTGCCCGCCTCTCTGCCTACTTGTGATCTCTCTGTCAAATAAATAAATAAAATCTTTAAAAAACAAAACAAAGATAAAATCAAAATACATCATTCCATATCATATCATACAGAATTTTACTTTTACTCAGTTTCTCTAATGTTAGGTACCTCTGTTTTTGTTTTTTAAAATTTATTTTTGTATGAGAGAGACAGCATGAGCACGCCCAGGGCAGACAGAGGGAGAAGCAGGCTCTCTGCTGAGCCAAGAACCTCAATCCCAGGGCCCCAGGATCATGACCTGAGCTGAAGGCAGATGCTTAACCGACTGAGCCACCCAGGTGTCCCTAGATATCTCTGTTAAAACAGCATCTTTACAGCACAAAATAACGCTTCAGTGATCTATAACAAAATTCTTCAAATGGTTGCTATTTGTCATTCCCCTGCATTATTTTTTTTTAAGATTTTATTTATTTATTTGACAGAGAGGTAAGAGAGAGCACAAGTAGGCAGAGCAGCAGGCAGAAGGAGTGGGAGAAGCAGGCTCTCCGCTGAGCAGAGAGCCCGACACGGGGCTCAATTCCAGGACCCCAGGATCATGACCTGAGCTGAAGGCAGACGCTTAAACCAAATGAGTCAGCCAGGAGCCCCATTCCCCTGCATTTTAAAATCAATAGTAACTCTCATATCCCAAACACTGGCTCTCCATTGCCAGAAAACAGGACTCTATGAAGTCCTTCAAGAACAGAAATAATACTACAAAGCCAACCACACTAAGCTCCAGCATCTTCTTGAAGAAGACTCTTAGAAGATCTGCTATAACACAAATACTTACATTCCTGAAAATCCTGCTTTCTGCAACGCTAAAAATAACAAGGCTTAAGGAAAAAATAATTGGTCCAGGAGGGCAGAGAGGGGTATACAAGGCCTATCAGTCAATGCCCCGTTAACTCTGTAACCATAGCACTAACAAAAACAATGATTGGGACACTCCAGAGATAACTTGGACACCCCAGTGAGGCAGCTAACAGCAGCTGAGATGCTACCTCAGGGCTTAATAAAAGGTAATAAAAACAGAGAAAGAGAAACAAGGGCTTATGGGAACTGAGAAGTGGAGCTTTAAGACAGTAGAGCTAAGATGGACACAAAAGGAAATGCAGACTGCCACATGAGAAAAGTCCCTGCTAGACCAGAGTGTACTTCTCTAGGAGGGAAGCCCCCCTCCCTGCCACTGCTAATTATCACTTCTAATTAAAAACCTCTGTGTGTGTGTGTGTGTGTGTGTATTTGGGGATGGGGGGCTTTTGTTTCTGTAGCTGCTGAATTTAAAGTTTTTTACTTTCTTGATGAAATGTAAAAGTCAATTCTCTGAGGCACCTGGATGGCACAGTGAGGGTTAATGTCTGACTCTTGTCAGGGTTGTTGAGACCGAGCTGAACCCGTTCAGCATGGAGTCTGCTTAAAAGACTTTCTCCCTCTGCTCCTCCCTATCCATCTACACTTGTGCTATCTCTACTCTCTCTCTCTCAAATAAATAAATCTAAAAAATTTCAACTCCCTCTATCCAGGATCCCTTTGTCTAGTTTAGGAAAAAGTCATGTAGAAAGCAATACACTACCCATGTTATACTGACACTGTTCACCTATTTATCAAGAATCTATAAGCTAACTAATGTTGCAGAATTACGACACATTTCTTGTAGAACAGATTGTACTGTGGTCAATTAAAAACACATATAATATCTGAGGCACGTGAGTGGCTCAGTTACTTAATCCTCCAATTCTTGGTTTCAGCTCAGGTCATGATCTCAAAGTCCTAGGATCGAGCCCCATGGTGTCAGGCTCTGCACTCAAAGGGATCACTCTTTTTTCCTCTGCTCCTACCCTTGCTTACACTAAGTAAATGTTATAAAAAATAAAGCATGTATGGGGCGCCTGGGTGGCTCAGTGGGTTAAAGCCTCTGCCTTCACCTGGGGTCATGATCTCAGGGTCCTGGGATCGAGCCCCGTGTTGGGCTCTCTGCTCGGCGGGGAGCCTGCCTCTCTGCCTACTTGTGATTTCTGTCAAATAAATAAATAAAATCTTTTAAAAAATAAAGTATGTAAATACATACATAAGGTAAAAATATTTTAGCTTACATCTCTAAGTAGGAAGAGGAACCTATTAATATCAAGGTTAAAAGCTCTGCAGTCATTGACAATAAAATCCTAGTCTTCAGAATAACGCAATCAGATGTCTAATGATGCTCCAATTCTGAAAGACAATTCATCACCCAATCCCAGTCTTTCTTGAACATTCAACTATATAATTTGGAGACTTTATGAATGTGGCATAATTTTTTAAAGAACTAGGAAAAACAAGATTCCCACATTACTGTACAGGATGCTTTAATAAATTTATTAACCCTGCCAATGTCTTCTCTGCAATTTATATTTTTTGAAGTTGTCCCTAAAATAGGCATTTAGGGGAAAATCTTGGGAAGATAGTGTTCTTATGTCTCCAAACCCCAAGGGAAACACAGAGACCTAAAGAAAAAAAAAAAAAAAAAGAAACCAAAGGCGAATTCACAACAAAACCAGGAGACAAGGTTTTGTCTCCCCTAAATTCCAAGCAGATGAGGACAAACCAACAGCCACCACACCTGAGCACCCACATGCAGTAGTGCAAAAGAAAGCAAAAAGGATCAACAAGGTGTATGATACACCTGAAAACAAGAGAGCCCGAAATAGCTAAAATGTAGGTATTCAAAAGAAATCATGGCAGATCAATTTCATGAGGAGAGAAAGCTG